TATAGGTTTCTTCAAAATTGCTGAACATGTCTAGTGTAAAATACTCTAATTTTTGTTTCTCTTCACGTTTCACTCTTGCCACAATCTCTGAATGCGTATTGTTAAACTTTGCCCATAGTTTCTCCAAGTTTTCTAATCTCGACTCAATGTATTCCCGTGTAATTCTTTCTTTCGGGGACTTTTTGTAATTTGTTAACGTTTTCGAGAGGTTTTCAATACTATCTTCTTGTTTGAGAATTAACCCTTCCATTGTTAGCGATATTGTCCACACCACAAAGAAATTCTGTTATCAAAATATAGCTTCAACACGTAACATTTTGAGTGTCCACAATTATAATAAATTAAAGTTCTTTTTAGAATATTTTAACAAGACCAATGACATATAAATTCTTTTAAGTATCAACAACTATAAAAATTTCAGTCTTTTTTTTGAAGCAAAAATTTCAAAGTCACAACTTGTATGAAAAAAGTTAAAGTCTTTTTTGGAGAGAATTTTTCTAAGTCCTAAATTTTAACCACAGTCTACGTTTTTAACAGTCTCACAAATCACTTGTTTATACTGTTTTTTGGTTCACTGTACACTCACTGCATTCCCGGGTTTCGGCACCATGTTCAATTTGTTCACTTGTGTACTATTAACTGAGGGCAACACTGAATGAAAAAACTTACTTGACACTTGTACTCACTCGTTTATTGAATTAAAAGAAAAATACAATCCAAGCCTTATACTATTTGTCGCGATACAACGATAGCGCGTGTTAAAACGACAAAGCGCCATCTATTGACAAACATTGAAATAAACATAAAACTAAACATAAACATAAAAAAAAATCCACTCTTACAACTTTTTGTAGGGGAATTTTTTCTAGTAATTTTTATTTATAACTACATTATATCCGAATGACATAGGCTATAGTCCACAGTAGTTGGTAGCTATTCGCAACCTCATTAAATTATTTATCTTTACAGAGGAGCCAAATGACGATGACCATGATGGTGAAGATGAATTGAATATTCAATATGAATGTGAATTTGATGAGGGAAGTAGAAACTCGAGCAACGAAGAGAATGGAGATGAATAACATAATAGATAATATTTTTTAAATCTTAATTTGTCAATTGTAACATCTTCAATCAAAATTTTAATAAAAAATAATACATACCTATTGCTTTAAATTTATTTGCTCTAAATATCTGTGAATGATTATACCTATATTTATTTAAAATTTTAATCAAGCTCAATAAATAATATAACCATCATTTCAATTATCTGTATTATATAGCCATGTAGTGTTCTCACTCGAATTAAAGCGCACGAATAACGCCCTCACGCTCGCAATCACAGGGAAACTTTGAGGTGTCTGGGAGAATAATTGGCCCATTGGATTGGTCTGGCTGCTAACAAAAAGTCTGGAAATAGTTCCACGTAGTTATATATGTCAAATATAGGCTTGCTAAAATGACGTAGTTTACCTAATTTTTAAACAATCTTTATAACGTCTGGCGGAAGTAATGGCCCACAGAAACGGTCTGGCAATAACGATTATCTATTTTTGATAATATTGTCAAAAATATATTTAAATATGAGCCTTTCTACTTTAACGTAGGTGAGTACAGTTTTGAAACACCTTTAGTTCGCGCTACCTGTGAAAGGGCCCCGCTTTCGAGCTAGTAAGTACGCATACTCCCCTAACTACATACTAGACTATAAATCATGGAAATTTTAGCTTTGCTAAAATGACGCAGATCTGGCGGCACTGAGATTTTACTTTACTATATTTTATCCTGCTAAAATAAATTTCGCCCGTACAATGCTGGGGTGGGTCACTAATATATATATATATATATATATATACGTATAAAAGTTTATATTATTTGTTTCGAATTTTGCAGAATTATCGTTTATAATTACAAAATCAACATTATCGCGAACTGATTAATAAAGGCAGGGAGCCCATTAAGTAAGGACCTACTAGCGAATAATAGGTTATTTCTTATTATGCTAAGTAACCCTTTAATGAGATAAAGTAATATCGTTAAAATAAACTTCGAAAATAGTATAATACTGAGCTTTTCATTATATTTTTATAATCGTTAATACCCATTATTTTTTATCATTTAATAAGAAGGATCTTTATTATAGTTTTATTTTAAGTACTTCTTATAGGATTATATACTGCGAGTAGCCCATGTTTTTGTATTCCTCCGAGGTTTTGATCTACGTTTATAAACACCAAAATTCTTCAAAATTTCTTCTTCCACCATTATTTCCGCAGTCTTCTCCTGCATAGAACACCGCGCTATCACTTTGTCATCGTTGTAACTATATAAATATTTGTCGAAATGACATAGTGTAAAATGCAAAGTTTATTTATTGTCTTTAAATATCAAAAGCGATAAAAGTATTTATTTATATTTTATTTTTGATTCACTTTTAAAGTGACAATGGTGTCTATTCTCGCAGGATTCTCTAAACTTAAAACTAAATTTAACATCAGTCTGTCCTTTTTATTCTGTATGAAGGATGACAAAGATACACTGTTGTCAAATTTAAGTTTAGCTTTAAAGAATCATGCCAGAATCGACAAAAATGGCACATTAAAAATAGTTATATGATGCCTCTGTCTTTTTCACCCGACTGCGCAATGCAAGAGCGCGAAGCGCGACGCGCAGACAGGCTATAGGGGAGAGCGAGGCACATTAGCATATTTTTCGTATTTGGACTCATAAAAAATCAACTGTAAAGAGAAATTGAAAAAACATTGTTTTCTTAGCTTACTTACTCCTTTGTTAATATAAAAATGATGAAATGTTTGAATTTGCTGAAAACGTTAAAGAGAAATAATGTATTTTTTAAACACAAATTTGTTCAAATCTGCATCCCCAGGGGGGCACATTTAAATCGACATGGGGCAGTTTTGAACAATGGGTTAAAAACCAGAAAAAAGAGAGGATAGAGTAATAATTTGTGTTTATTATAATGATATTTATTGTAATAAAATATAAAATAAACTTATACGAAACTTCTAAAGTTAAATCTTGCATTACAGTAAAAAAAATAAAAATAGTATTTTATTGTGTTGGACTTCCTCCTTGTTAACAAAAGTAATCATATTGCACAAGAGTTTTAGTTTATTGTTATTATTATTATATAATACTGCCTCAGATTACTCACGTGATAGTAAATCCCTTACATTTATTTTTATTTTTTACTTCATCGGTACAAATACGAAGACAGTTTATAAATCTTTTTGAAAACGAAACGCGCCCGCTTTGTTACTTGACGTTTGTCACAGCCAGTGCTGCCAATATTAAAATGTAGTTACGGCATAAATTAACATAAAGTTACGTTCAGAAATCAACATGTTCAAATCTGTCCCTGTGCTAAGATGCCACTTTCTCCCTAGTGTTCACAGTCTATTTTATGTATGTATGTTCCTTTGCGGCACACTAGACACCAAACGCGTAGACCGATTTTGATGATTCATACATCAATCGATTTGTCTTAATCATGGGAGTGCTACTAAAGATATGATAGTCACCAAAATTCAGTATGGGGACAATTAAGCGCCAAATTGTGACGAATTAAAAAAAAATGGGTGCGTGTACTTATGTAGGCGCGTGAGAAGTTATCCTTCTTTGGCATCGTTTAAAATTAGTTTTTAATTGCATGCAAATAATTAATTACAATAAATTAATAAAAAGTCTGGAAAAGGACACAGTCAATAAAGTTCAGTTTTAATTTGAAAAAATAGATAAATAATCAAAATATTCAATTAAAATCGCAACTGAATATAATTTATTAGAACATATGTGATTTGCACTTGTATGAAACTCAAACACGTATTCCGAATATACAAACTAGAAACATGTGGATAAATATTATAAATATGAATACCTATAACTGTTACTTTATTACAAAAAATAAAGATGTGGTTTTTGGTTCTACTACACCAATGGTCAAGAGATGGCGCAGTAGTCTCCTGAATCGCGCTTTGGTTCCGTTGTTCCAGATTAATAAATACTTTTTGATAGGCCTTCAGAATGCAGTCGTTAGCACCCACTAAATAGAGATTCTATTTCTATTTTGTTGGTAGATTTTCTTAATGTGCGGTAAACACAAAAGTAACAGCATGAAGTTGGTCGCTAAAGCGACCAACTTCATGCTGTTAAAATTTTGTGTTACAGTGATGCGCGCGCATCTTAAAATTTCACTCTCATTATTTTTTCATAACGCGCCTAAAGAAGTATAACTTCAAAAATAAGTTGACGAAATATGTCAAGAAGTTCTCAGGGGTGTCCGTCAATAATATTCGTTTCTACAGTAATTTATATATAATTTCGAATTTAGGAAACAACTTTTCATGATTATTGGTCTTTAGGTCAAACATGTATGGAAGCTGAGCAATCTCCTTTATCATAGGTAATAGGTATTTATGATTATTGTGATTTAATGAAAAACTCAGAATTATACTGTTTTTAAAGTTTATTTTAACGATATTATTACTTCATGTTTCAACAGAAGGGTTACTTAACATATTGAGAAATAACCTATTTTTCGCTAGTAGGTAGGCGCGAGGCACGGCAGGCGGCGGTCGAGCGCCAGGGTGCCGCCTGAGTTGGAGCTGCGCCCCGATCCGCTCGAGCTGTCCGACCACGCCGACTCCCACATACTACCACAACAGTATCACTTACCTGTACCTAGTCCGGGGGCGAGGTGTGGGCGCGAGGCGCGGCAGGCGGCGGTCAAGCGCCATGGTGCTGTCCGAGCTCGAGCTGCACCCCGAGCCGCTCGAACTGTCCGACCACGCCGGCTCCCACATACTACTACAACAGTATCACTGACCTGTACCTAGTCCGGGGGCGGGGAGTGGACGCGAGGCGCGACAGGCGGCGGTCTAGCGCCAGGATGCCCCCCGAGCTGGAGCTGCGCCCCGACCCGCTCGAGCTGTCCGACCACGCCGGCTACCACATACTACAACAGTATCACTGACCTGTACCTGGTCCGGGGGCGGGGTGTAGGTGCGAGGCGCGGCAAGCGGCGGTCGAGCGCCAGGGTTCCACCGGAGCCCGAGCTCGAGCCGCGCCCCGACCCACTCGAGCTCTCCGACCACGCGAGCTCAGACAAACTAAATTCCAAACAATATTATTAGCTGTTTCATCATCATCCTTATCTATCGTCCTCTCCTGCTTTCTCTATTATGATCGTAGCGGACACATCAACTCGGCAAGGGATTGTCATCGTATCAACTCGATTCGTTCAGTATTCTTTGTACGAAATCAGGGATGGGGATTCAACGTGTTCAACTCTTCGTACACTAGCTTGATTTCTCTCTGAAGTCTAGCTTATGTCTATCTATAGCCTAGCTTACATCTCTTCATAACCTAGCTTTCCGATACTTCGGATTCCTAGGGCAGCATTTTGCACCAATCAGTCCATTGTACAATAATTTTGGTATGAAAACTAGAGCTTCTGCTTTTTTCGTAGAGTTATGGAGTTCTTTGGTCATATCGTTCTAACTAACAACTTACTAGTATTAATTATGAAGTAACGCTTGTTTCCGAGGTGGGAACACGACCATCAGTAATGAGGAAAACGACGCGAGGAGGAGGTCCATGGATAAAATAGTAGTAGTAGAACTAGAGATGGAAAAAACGGCTTATTTCTTAAACGCGTTTAAACGTTGTACTTTTTAAAATAAGCGCGCTTGATAAAAAGCTTTTTCGTTTAAGCGCTTATTGGCTTAAACGTTTAAAAGCATGCGTAAAAAGCGCGACGTTGTGTTGTGTTTTCGTTAAGGTATATCGTTTAAAAGAGCGTGAAAAGTTTATTGTCGTTTTTAATTTGTTTAAGTGTTTTATTGCGTTTTTTCTTCTTATTAATGAAATTTTTATTAAAAAGTTTTTTTAAACCTAATGAATTGATTGGCATTAAAAACGAAAGATTTTCAATTGAATTTAGATTTTTTAATAAACATTTTTATAATAGTCAATGAACTTTCCTTCGTACTTTACAAGCTTAGAACTGTCTGGAGTTAATATACTCGTGATCCAGGCGTACTTAAAAGTTCATTGATTTTATATACATACTTTTAACTATTTTATATGCACATTAAACCAACACACGAAACGCATTAACACAAGCAAGCATGCAAACACACCGTACAACACCCACGCGCTCTTACCCCGTCACAGTGACAAGCGTACTGCTTTTCGATTTTCGACTTCGTTTAATTAAACGCTTTTAACGAAAAAAGCGTTGGTTATCCGACCAAATTTAAAAAAGTGCATTTTTTACGTCGCATTATAATAATTTGCATGCTGTATTAACCGGCTCACGAAAGATGGCACGCCGACGCGGCGCTGTAGTCGCGCGTTCTATGGCTGTGATGCTGTGAAATATTTAGTTCCAAGGAATTCCGCCTACCCATTTTTCGATACTGTAGTGGACTAGAAGGATCGAAGTATGTAGTTTCCTGGCAAAGACATAGATGGCGGGATTTGCACTTTTTAAGTAAAAAATATACTTGCACTTTTTTAAGTGAAAAGCTTACTCACACTTGTTAAGTGAAAAGCTTAAAATGCTTATACTGAAAAGCGTGCTTAATATTTTAAGCGCGCTTATTTAAGCGGTTTTCGTTTAAACGCCCACCGCTAAGTAGAACGGATCATAAACCACCAAGCGTGTAAGTGTGTGTCTCCGCTGCTGGGGCACAAGTCTTCCATGGATGGAATAGGGAGGTTGGACAACGAGCCACCACGCGGGCCCAGTGTGGAATAGTGGGTGGTAATGACTGTAGATGCAGCCGGGACCAACGTCTTAACGTGTCCGAAGCAAGGAGGAGCTCGAAATAGTTAATTTTTGGTCACGCATTCAATCACCGATCACTGAGAAAGTTGTACCATTTGCGCCATCGAGCTCCTCCAAGTATGTTGGTGGATGCTAATGACTACATATGGAGCCGGGACCAACTGCTTAACATTAGGAGATCGAGGTTGAATTGATTTCCATAATCCTCGTCATTAACACCGCTCTCTATTTGATAAACATGATTAGTACTTATATGCTTCTCAAATCGACTTTATCTTTTTAATGATATTAAAAATTTAAGACCTTGTAGAAATAGGCGGCAATTTATAAGATGGGGAGTAGACGTCATTGCTCTCTGTGTAGGTGGAAGCGTGTATCTCCTGTTGGTATAACTCGTACAGCTGGCTCAGTTCCGAAGGTATACCGATTCCCATTTCTGCAATAAAAAATAAAATGTCACATACAGATTAAGCTTATCACTAAAAAAGATTAAGCAAGTTGTAATTTTTTCCTAATTTAATTCTTTGTCGTCCCACGTAAGCTAATAGCTTTTTTCCTTTCTTTAATGAAATAAATAGAATTAAATAAGAATGTAAGAAAAAAATTGCATAAAATCACTACATAGTATAAAGCAAAGTCGCTTCCCGCTGTTTGTTCCTATGCTCCTATGTATGCTTAGATCTTTAAAACTAAGCAACGGATTTTGATGAGGTTTTTTTAATACATAGAGTGATTCAAGAGGAAGGTTTATGTATAATACATGCATAATATAGTAGAGAAACACTGATAATTTTAGAGGTTTTTAATGTAAGGTCGTAAATAAACACATTTTTTGCGCTTACATTGCAAACGCTGGCTGAACCCTATGAGATAGATCAAAATAATATACTACGGTATTGCACACCTTTAAAAGGCCTACAAAAAAGTCCAGGATGGTATATGTCTATCTCTTAGGGATAACCCACAATAACCATTTTTTATCCTATACTTTTTAATAGAAATAATAGATTATTTACGAAGCGATTTTCAGCAATATAACATTTATCCTTATCCAATTAAGTACCTTAAATACATTGTGCATTTAATATACACCAATTTGGCCCTTTAACGCATGTAATTTAAATGAATATTTTCGAAGATATTACAGATTTAAAATGCAGGGACATAGCGGTTCCGACGCTACCGGGCAAGGGGCTTGGCGGCGCGTGCCTATTGAAATTAGGTATTAGAAGAATGTCATTGTGTATAATACAAGCCTGAGAACAAATACTATAGTCTACACTACAGCTCTACACTGAAGCGAAGCGAGGGCGGGCCACTAGTAAAATAATAAAATGCAGTGCACACGATAAATAAAGTAGAACGCACTAATGCTAGCTTAAATGAAACTTAAATTTATTGGTTAGTTATACCTACAACTATAACAGATTCATTTAGCGAAACATGTAGTGGCAAAAATAATGATGAAGATAGAATGAAATAGTTTAAACAGCACAACCGCTGATGTTAAAACTGTCTGGTGGCAGCGTTTACGTCCTGCAACACTAGTTTGTTCGCTTCTCGTTCTTAAATACGTCAGACTAAAGCCAGAACTGCTCATTCTGTACCACTTAAGATACCTTCGAGTGCTCGCCGCAGTAGTGTGATGATCTTATCAGAAAGCCTGCGCTGCGAGTCCCGCCGCTGCAGCGCTAGATCCCGGCTTTGCAGCTCATGAGTTCTGGCAGCACGTTCGCCCTTCAGCGCTAGTTTGTCCGCTTTAACTCGTGAACACGACAGATTAATGTCTGAACTTAGCGCTCTGGGCTGTTTTGAATCCGTGCTGTAAACTCCCGTCCAGGAGTAAGTTCCATACCTTCGAGTGCTCGCCGTTGTCGTGTGATGATCTCATCAGAAAGCCTGCGCTGCGAGTCCCGCCGCTGCAGCGCCAAATCCCGGCGGCGCAGCTCATGAGACCTGGCAGCACGTTCGCCCTGCAGCGCTAGTTTGTCCGCTTCTAATTCGTGAACACGGCACACTAGCGCCAATACTTCGCGCTCTGGGCCGCTGTTGATTCGTGCTGGTAGTTCCTATTACAAATATAGTCATATATTACAGGTATCCTTGAAAATATAATCTTTTTTATAACACTTTATATTTTGGACAGGTTAAACTTCAATGCTCTACCAAATTATCGTGTAGGTAGGTTGTATGTTTAGGAATAGTAGTTAGATCTGTCGTGATTTCTTTAACTAGGTAAAAGGAATATTTTGTAGAATTAAAAAAACAAAGCAATATTGTCATGCGAAGTACAATAGTGTTACAAGTTATAAGCACGTGCCTACATAATCCTTCATTTTAATTACTGCGCTGCGACTTGCGCCAAATTCACACTTGAGCAAATCACAGACAAATAAACTTGCGCAGTGGAAGTTATTGTATGTACAGTTGCTACTACGCAGGCCCTTGTCTATGGTCGTTGCTCAAGAATTTTGCCGGGATACCTGTTTTAGCTGCGCTCCGTCCGCGCCGCTTCCTGCTCGCGTTCCACCGCCGCCATCTCAGCCCACGCCTGCTCCACCGCCACCTCTGCCTGCGCGCGCTCGCTGCTACTGGTTATCGCTGATGTCACTGCTCACTGTCCGTACCTGTTCTAGCTGCGCGCCTCTCAGCCGCACTTGCTCGAGCTGCCTCTCGACACGCGCGCGCTCCGTCCGCGCCGCCTCCTGTTCGCGCTCTACCGCCGCCAGCTCAGCCCACGCCTGCTCCACTGCCACCTCTGCCTCCGCACGCTCGCTGCCACTCGTCACCGACCCCGTACCACCTCTACTGAACACATAATAACCAGTATAAAACCTCAAGACTTCCAGGCACATTTATTCTCGTCTTTCGAACGTTCTTTCCAAGTGTCCAAACTTGACTCAATACAACAACTCAATTCATTTACTATATTATTATTTTCTATCCAATGTCAGGGTGCAGTCATTTGTTTCCGACTTCCTTAAAAAAATCTGATTTCCTTGTTTTAAATTGAAAAAAAAAACATTTCGTACCTGTAACTTTGTTGTGTGCTTAATCTTGATCCGGATAAGCTAATTGGTTTGTATAATCGGTTGAATCTAGCTTCCCAGTGCGAGATGGCTGCGTGTTGTCTTTCCGCATCCAGAGCAAGCCCCAGAAGGTGACTGTCAAGCTCCATAAGCCGCCGACGTAGTCGCATCTGCTGCTTGAAAGTAGACACAATTGATTCCCTCAAGGATTTCAAATGTGCTGCGTTTTCTGCACTCTCCTCTTTTGTTAATTCTTCTGTTTGCTGCGGTTGTGTAAAATCATCTTTGGATCTAGAACAGGCACATTTTTGTTTCTTCATAATTGGTCTATACTTAATATACTGAAAGCTTATTATTTCCCAAAATAGAGCTTACCTTGCAGAATCGCCTTTCATTTTCGACTTAAGCCTGGATATTTCCTCTCGTAGCTCATATATTACACTACGGTACTGGGACATATGCATAGGAGTTTCCACCATCTCTCGTTCCACCTAAGAATGAACATAATAAAAGAATGGTCACAATTTCCATTTTAAATAACATTATTCTAATGCGAATTTTATTGTCGCTGGCAGTATTTAATGTTTATTTACAAAATTTTGAAATTTTTTAATAAAACTTACTTTTTTTTATTCTTTATTAAGCCATACACCTTAAAGGTAAAGCCGACTAAATAAAAGTAACTTAAAAACTAATAAGTATCCAAATTAACTTAATCTACTTAAATAAATAAATAACAAAATAAAAAATATGTCTCCCCCAGCGCCGCCGTCGGGAATGATGCCCAATAGGCCGGCAGCATTGCCACGTTGGATGGCAAGGCTGATCCGTTGACCAAGACAGCTGCCAGCCTTTTGATCAACACCAGCCACTTCGGTGAGCCTCTTTGACATTAACTTAAAAAGGGAACGAGCTCTTGTACCCCATGGGCCAGTCCCAACACCAAATAGCACAAATATGTATATTTATCACTAACCTGACATGGTAGCGCGCCCAATATTTACATATATTTATATATTCAGTACAATAAAGATCTTCAGAACGTACGGTGCTACATGTTTACTTAACCTTCCATCTAAACAGTTGCATTCCGCGAACTTACATTAAACATATTTGACATTAATAATTGGACCCTCAATATTGGTCCTCCGATCTGGATTTTATTCTAATACAAGAGTTAATACATAAACAAAGTGGGTTTTTGGAAATGATCTTACTCTGTTGGTAATAGAAGAGGCTCGTTGTGCGTAATGCAGTGTGGAGCGTGTGGTCTCCTTTTGGGCAGAACCAGGCGCGACGTGCGCCACCATCGCTGTGCGACACCGACCGCCCAACACCTCCCTCAGGAGCCGTGTCAACTTGGAATCTCGGTAGTTGACGTACCTATTGTAAAGTTAGGTAGGTCAACATGAAATCACGCTTACATGGCAAACAGTGTAACAATATAATATTTTGTAAATATTGTTACATAATTATTGAAGTTATTTTGGCCAATTTTTCACCACAGCTAAAAAAATAGCTCTACTGGTGGTAGGAAAAAAAATGGACAGTTCAAAAGAGCTGGAGCTCTACTCTTTGTCTCCGAAACGAAATTTCGGTACCGAACGAATTTTAAATGAAATTTCACCAGGAACTCTACACTATTTCATTTTCGAACACGCACCTAAGGTTCGGAATCGCAAACAATTTTCGTGAACGAATGGAATGAGTTATGTTTGTGAGTTAATTTATCTCAATAAAACCAATATTACCCTACGTCAAAATTTTTTATGACTTAAAAAACCTTCTTCTTCTTCTGATAGTGAAAGCCGACTAATTTGTAGAGTTGCTGTAATCGATTGTATGTCTACCTAACTTTGTCGTTTAATACTGGATATACAATAATTAATAAAAATTTGGTTTATTTGTTAATTTTACGTTCTAAAAAATGTTCCTCATGCTTAGTAGCATTGATTTATAAATAAAATAACAATACTGTAGCTGTCCTTTAAGGCTTAATTTAAACAAAAATCCTAAAACAAAAATTAAAAAGCAACACTTTTTTCATTTCGTCAATTTGAGGTTATAATTTCGAGCAATTATCTGTCAAATTCAACTTTTCGTTCGAAATTTTTATGAATTGGAGTAGTAGTACTTGGAGAATTTATTTACTATTTTCGAACGTATGATTTTTCGAAATGAAAAAGAAACAGAACAAAGAACGTGCGTTTCCATCGAAATTTCGTTTTTCGTTGAAATACAGTAGGCCTTCTGTATTGTGCATCCAACGTAAATAAAGATTTTTTGTCTTTTGACTTTTTGACATGTGGTATATCGATTGCTACCTACAAAGACAGCAATCTCGCCCTCTGATTCAAAGCCTTTGAGCAAGTTTGTGTTTTTTGATTTCGACATTAAAAGTTGTTGCTTATCCTGACTTCGTAAAACTTTACTCATCGATAGAAATAAAACACTATTAAAGGTGGTGTTAAATCAATGTGGTGAAAATGTGCTATGCTGCCGGTAAGTAGGGCTACTGGTCTTAAATAATTAATAAAAATGTTATTGGGTATTTCAGGGCCAGATTTAAGAGATGTGGAGGCCCGTGGGCAATGAAGGAGAGCAGGGCACAGGGCCGTAATGAAAAATCTGGCGCCGCAGACTCGTTTTGCATTTTGCATCAATGTTGTAGCCTTGTCTTAAAATCGCCCCCGGCATATTTAATAACTTCTAGGCGGGTGCACCAAATTGGTGGGAGTCGAAATGGCATTTTTGTATTGAAATCTCAACCGTTCTCAATTTTTCAGTATATCGCACCCGGACGAAGCCGCGGTAATAAAATATGCTTATTATGCTTATTATTGCATATACCACCTTTTACTGAGGAATATTATGATATTCGTTATACAGTTACAAACAATAATACTACGTGTAATATCTTATCAGATTGGAAATCATGACATGACATGTTGATTGACACGTTAATACCTACTATTCATATCGTCCGCTGGTCATGCAATATGGGATTTATGATACACAATATTTCTATAGACACATTTTGCGGTCAAATCACTGGTACCAAGAAAGTTGCCTCTCGTGAAGGTGCTACAAAATTCGCTGTAGTGACGATTTTGTGGTTTTAAGTTTATCCTGATTCATTTATAACCGTCATGTAACAGTTTTATGGTTAAAATCCTATTACAATGCTTATTGAAAATCACTTTGTGTATGAAATCACTTAGTTGTATTATTTTATTCGTTTAAATACATTTAGAAGAATCAAATAATACAACTAAGTGACTTCAATGCTATGTTATCCGGCGCGGTGCAGAATCCCGTAAATGGTATTTCGTATTTCTACTAGTCTTTAGTAGTGGGTTATTATTAGTAGTAATTAGGTCTAACCAAGGCCCATAAGGGATGCGCTCAGAATAGGTAATGTATGATTTTTTGTTTTTACGCTTTGTTAATTTACTCCAAGATAGAGCGTGGCAGCGCAGAAGACGTTGAAAAAATATCAGCCAACAGATTGACTCTAAGTCGTTTCCCGTCACTTAGTGTTCAATGTACCGCCGAGCGATACGCACGTCAATAGGCTAGTTGACTCATATCGAATTGTATTAAATAAATGTTTATTTCTTACAGTATTTGGTCTAAGGAACCTAAATATATCGATTTCACTTCATAAAAGCAGAAGATGGCTGTAGAAATTTAATTTCAAAAAAATATTTTTAGTCTATATTTTTTAAACACTAAAAACGCTGTTCGCCACATCCGCCATGATTGTGACGTCTCTTTCAGTAAACAACTAAATGTCATTCGCGTGTTATTGTGGGTGGATTCTTTAGTCTGAATAAATTTATCTTAAAACACTTTTAACTTTAGAAAAGTTTCCGTTTACTTTTTTTTTTGACAAAACTAATTATGGATGCCTGCTTTGTGAAAGCAGAAAGCACAAATCTGCCAAGAATTGACGCATTGATGGTTGGTGAATTTTTTGCACTAAACTCCGATTTCTGCTCTGCGGAGCAGAGAAACGACAAGGCATCTATGTAAGTACAGTGCATTTAGTATTACAATGTAGTAATAAACATAAAACTGATACAACATATGAATAAGTGTAATAAAGTTGCGTAGGTTAATTTCTTTCGGCACTTTAATCCATAACATTCCTGGAGTCTTCAAGGATGTGTTTTTTATATTCTCGTACAATACAATAATGATAATTACTTTATTTTTCGTGGTATTTATTAGAAATCGTGTTCTTTTTATTATAAACTCAGATAAGTTATTTTCTACGTGCTTACGAGTTTTTGTTTACTATAATTGACATCAAAGCATAGACAATCTATAGACTAAAATGGCCGACAGCGTTTTTGTATGTCCATGAAAATTCTATTTTAAAATTAAAGATTTGTAGTTTTCTAGGTCTCAAAAAAATACAATACATTTTTTTTCGGTCTAATAGAACATTTATTCACCATTTAAAACCTTTTTCCAAAAAGGGTCAACTAGCCTATTACAGAGTTTCATGTTGAAATTATTGCTTTAAAATGCCGAGATGCACGCAGGCGCGGTCGCAGCCTGAAATTTTGGAGGGGGTTACAAACTATACTAATAGAAAAACGGCCAAGTGCGAGTCGAACTCGCGCACCGAGGGTTCCGTACACACCTGAATTCTCAAAAATATTTTTTATTATATGATGTAACTAAAAAATTACGGTTTTTCGCAATTTTTCCTTTATCTGTACTATAAGACGTTACTTTGTACCAAATTTCAAGATTCTAAGTTCACGGGAAGTACCCTGTAGGTTTTGATTCCCGTGTAAGTTTCAAAAATTTGCAGCATAAACGGCTGTATTTTTTGATAGCTTCGGCTTAGAAATTTGATTTTTTCACAGCTCCAAGGGACAGTACACCTGAGTATTAGATATGAATTACAGTTTGATACCTCCACGCGTTCCTGAGAAAAACGGTCTTGACAGAAGGACGGACGGACGGACGGACAACAAAGTGATCTTATAAGGGTTCCGTTTTTCCTTTTGAGGTACGGAACCCTAATAATAGGTATCTGGAATAAAATAAACATTATTTCACAAGACACAATTTTATTTTATACATTACTAATAAAACAAAGCGAGCGAGTCGAACTCGCGCACCGAGGGTTTCGTACACACCTGAATTTTCAAAAATATTTTTTATTATATGATGTAACTAAAAAATTACGGGTTTCGAAATTTTTCCTTTATCTGTACTATAAGACGTAATTTTGTACCAAATTTCAAGATTCTCAGTTATCGGGAAGTACCCTGTAGGTTTTGATCCCCTTGCAAGTTTCAAAAATTTGCGGCATAAACGGCTGTATGATTGCTTTGGCTTAGAAGTTTGATTTTTTCACAGCTCCAAGGGACAGTAGACCTGAGTATTAGATATGAATTACAGTTTGATACCTCCACGCGTTCCTGAGAAAAACGGTCTTGACAGAAGGACGGACGGACGGACGGACAACAAAGTGATCTTATAAGGGTTCCGTTTTTCCTTTTGAGGTACGGAACCCTAATAATAGGTATCTGGAATAAAATAAACATTATTTCACAAGACACAATTTTATTTTATACATTACTAATAAAACAAAGCGAGCGAGTCGAACTCGCGCACCGAGGGTTTCGTACACACCTGAATTTTCAAAAATATTTTTTATTATATGATGTAACTAAAAAATTACGGGTTTCGAAATTTTTCCTTTATCTGTACTATAAGACGTAATTTTGTACCAAATTTCAAGATTCTCAGTTATCGGGAAGTACCCTGTAGGTTTTGATCCCCTTGCAAGTTTCAAAAATTTGCGGCATAAACGGCTGTATGATTGCTTTGGCTTAGAAGTTTGATTTTTTCACAGCTCCAAGGGACAGTAGACCTGAGTATTAGATATGAATTACAGTTTGATACCTCCACGCGTTCCTGAGAAAAACGGTCTTGACAGAAGGACGGACGGACGGACGGACAACAAAGTGATCTTATAAGGGTTCCGTTTTTCCTTTTGAGGTACGGAACCCTAATAATAGGTATCTGGAATAAAATAAACATTATTTCACAAGACACAATTTTATTTTATACATTACTAATAAAACAAAACGGAAGTCGTCTTTTTGTATTTGCGAATCGAGTGATAATATTTGAGACGTCTGGTACTATTTCCAGGTGAATTTTTAGAAGAGCTAAATCTGCTAATCGCTCTTCTAATAAGTTAGCTCTCAACCACGTTTTTAGTAGACAGCCTTTATCTTGAATCTTTACAATAAACCGACAAATTACATTATTAGAATATTGTTATGCAATCTTTATCATAAAGACGCATAATGAATTTGCTAGGATTACCAAAACTACGTACTACTAGTTCAGTTCCTTGTTTCTAAACTAGTACTAGATGTCATTTCCAAGTTATTTTGACCATATATTATCATATTAGTTAAAAAAAATATGACTATCTTGATATTTTCAAAGCGATGTCAGTGCCTTATTACACAATTCCTCAAAAAGATTGCAGCAGTGCGAAAGAGTCTCAAAAACTGGACATAATAACGCTTCAGAGTCATGGACATACTGTATAACTAGGGCTGAGTAATTTTACCGTTGAAACGGGATAAGTGAGAGATATAGAAGAGATACCTTTAATCACTTTTCTAATAGGACGACCAAAATGTTTTTAATAAAATTAAAAGTACACAACCTATAGTGTTGATATTGTCACCGTTTTGTAAAAGTGGTGAAGTTCAACAACTCACTTGTTTCATCTATCCACATTAATTCATACATACTAACATGACAAAAAAAAATTTTTTTTTTCACCTATATATCATTTCATTTTATTATTTTAAAGGCCTATCCAAAGTGGTTCATTATCCACACCAAATATTAAACCGATTATTATTGGACAAGGTAAATTTTCAGTAATGAAAATTTTAAGAGTATTCGGTTTTTTTTAATATTCTACGACCGTGATCGTACCACAGTTCTATTTAATTTAGTATTGCCCAAATTCAGTCTTGGTCTTGCAGTCTTGGTCTTGTTCTTGCATTTTTGCAAGACCAAGACCAAGAACAAGACCGCGTATTTTTAGCAAGACCAAGACCAAGACTAACCGTGCAAGACTTGAGCAAGAACAAGACTGATCCGGCAAGACTCTTGCGTCTTGCAGCTAGGACTTAGCGCTATTTCACGGAGTAGTTAAGTATAACAGTTCGGTGTATAGGTACGCTTAGGAATTCTATGAGACGCAAAAAACTGTATCAAAGAATATGAAAAACTGGACCTATGCGCATTACGACCAATACCATAAACATACATAGCGAATAAAAAAATATCCATTAAAATCAAACAGAGTGCACGCATAGTTTTGTTTTAACCATCGGCACTTTGATAATGCGACATCAATGGTTTTGTACTGATTTCTCAAAGAAATTTGCCGCTTTTCGGAAGTACATGGTGATGATTCACGCGCCGGCGGCTTCTATTGAAATCACATACAATAATCGTTGCCGCCGCGCCGAAATCACAACATTTGACATTATTTGATTGCCGCCACAGGACCTAGGTATACTCATGCAAAATTCTAATTTCGTGTCTTGCCATCCCACTCACGCTAATACTATTTAATATATGAGCGAGCGAGACGGTACGACACGAACTTCGATTTTCAAATTTTAGAGTACAGGTGTTCCAAAGAATAAATAAGTTTCAGAGTGCTTAGAATGGAAACGAATACATTATTCTGATCACGCAACTAGTATTATGATTAGATAATGGTAAGGATAGGTAGTAGATGTCATAATAATTTAAACTAGTAATTATATTATAATAATGATTATATGGGTTTAAACTAATTACTTAGGTACTATTATTGTACATTTAGTCAAAATATTTCTTAAATTTCTTAAGTTTTTACAAGAAAAAATAGCAAAAAAGTGGTCAAATATCACCCGTTTGATAAATATAGTAGCCACTTTTAAATATACTTGAAACGTGTAAAAAAAATCTACAAAACTAATAAAATAATATAAAAAGCGTACCTACCTACTTATAAAATAAAAAGTCTGCGATAAGATTTTTTATTAAATCTCATATAAGTTGAGGGTTCAATCTCTTTCTAGACAGATATTGTCCTTTAAAATACAGTCAAGTTATTGTAATTAATTTGTTCTTCACATGTTTTAGCACATGTCAGCTCATAAAGCGTAAATGTTTATCAAATCAAATCAAATCAATATATCTTTATTCAAATTGGATGTATAGTACAACACTTTTGAATCGTCCAAACATTTTTTTCCCTACCACTCGTTATAGGACATATTTTTTAGCTGCGGAGAAAAACGAGCGAAAAAAACTCCACAACATTAAAAGCATAATGTAACAACATTTACAAATCATTATGTTGTTACAACGTCAATACAATCATGATTTATTTAATATAGAAAACCTGTTGGAATGATTGGAACAGTTCAAACCCAAGCATTTTTGTCTGTAATATAATCAGACACTTTGTAATAAGCTTTTTTAATAAGTGCTTTTTTTATACTATCTTTGAATTTATTTATGCTTAACTCTTGGATATTGCTTGGGACTTTATTGTATAAGCGAACACAAAGACCTTTAAATGAATTATTGATTTTGTGAAGCCTAGTAGCAGGTAAAGTTAGTTTATTTTTGTTTCTTGTATTAAGTGTGTGAACATCACTGTTTTTAAGAAACAAATTAATATTTTTTCTTACTAGTAATAAATTTTCGTAAATGTATTGTGACGCGACCGTCATTATACCAAATTCTTTAAACCTGTCTCTTAAGGAATCCTTAACTTTAAGATTATAAATTGATCGAATAGCTCTCTTCTGCAGCACAAAAATAGTTTAAACTTCGGAAAAAATATTAAGAAACAGTTCCTCCAATGGAAAACGGCATGTAGCTCAGTTGATAACCATGTGGCAGTTGATTTTTCGAATTTCTTATCAAATCTTCAGACATTTATTAATCTGATTGGTCGTTACTATGGCTATGTTAATTCAAGCTCACAATGTTCCAATTTTAATTCGTTTTTCTAAGATCTAAAGTAACTTTAATAAATAGCAATAGTCTAATAGGTAATTGCAACACTTGCAAGACTCTTGCTGCAAGACCAAGACCAAGACTGGGAGCGCAAGACCAAGACCAAGACTGGCTAAGTCTCGTCTTGTTCTTGCATTTGGGCAACACTAATTTAATTGTTAGAACTAAATTAATACACAATAGAAAAAATCGCGTCTTCACCACTGAAATTGGAAATTATAACTTAAGGCATCCTAACGGATTGTGTAGCAGTTTTCCGCTGCTACATAATTTCAAAATACATAGTTTTTTCTAACTACTCAAAGGGTGGTTTAAACCGTTGGAGGTTGCTAGTTTTTTAGGGTTCCGTGGCCCTGAGGGTTCCTTACACTTATAGTTTCTTGTCCGTCTGTCTGTCCATCTGTGATTTTGCTTGTAGACTATTAGCACTAGAGAGCTGTAATTTTGTGGAGATATGTATATCAATCACGCCGACACAATGGTAGAATAAAACTTTGAAAAATAATTTTTTAGGGTAACTGTAGCTTAAGTCACAGTCAAGCACAGCGAATACTCGCTGCGAGTGCATTTTTCTTTTACTTAATAACTTAGTTATTCATTAAACTACCTAGCGCAAGTTTATTGGACTTAAATTCAAGCATACAGATTTTTACAAAACGCGCTTCTGATTTTTTGGTTTAGCAGATGACAACACTGAATAGCTATTCCGCCTAGCGCGCTGCTCTACAATGCACGTTAATACTACAGCATAATAAAATTTTCACACCTACAGACTGTCAGAATGCGTGTGCAGCACTCGCTGTGTGTAACAGGCAGGCAGCGAATTGTCACTGCGACTGGGGGCAGTGAATGCACTCGCAGCGAGTATTCGAAGCTCGCTTGAGCGGCATGGCTATTCTCTGCGAATACCCCTGTCACACACAGCGAATAGTCGCGGCGAGTAGGCATTCGCAGCGAGTATTCGCTGTGTGTAACTGAAGCTTAAGATACAAGATTCGCGTGTTTTGTTTTGCGTGTCACGCACACAAGTATATATAACCTGGTCTGTTTTTATCGCAGTGTTTAATAAGCGTCGCTCAATCTAAAGAGTAAATAATCAAAGATTGTACGGTACCACAAGCTTACTTGTAGTGCAACATTCAAAGGCTTCAACATTTCTGGTGAGAATTTCTTTGCTATGAATTAGGTCCTGGGACTGAAACGCCACTTCTACTCTTTTTTTTTCTAGTCTATATCGAAGTTGCTTGCGAAATAATGTTTGCTATCATGTTTAAGTATTGTGGTCTTATGTATATGAAAGTTTGCTTACCTGGCTCCTCCTGATAATGCCATAATACAGTTGCCAAGTGCGAGCAGGGAGCGATTTATGTGTGCTCCTTCGAGACGGCGCGCGCGCAGCCCAGCACGCTCCGAGCCCGCCAAGTCGATGAGGAACAAGCGTCCGCGCTGTGTACCACCTTCGACTGGCGTGCTTACTGTCACACTTAAATGAAATCGAAAAATACTTGTTAATAATTGACATTGCAATCTTTCCAGTTATAATTCTACTCGTGTAAATAATTCGAGTTGTACGGTCGACTACAAAAATATGCATACCCCTAAGTGACAAATACATATATACATTTAAATAAGTGTACATACTTCGTTACAAATTACTAAATAGTCGTTAAACTAATGTTTCAAATTCATGAATACAGAATAATGGACACTATAATGTAAAACTACAAAAATAGGTATAGAAGCCGTCATTCTAATTTAAAATTTCAGAAATTCTGTCTAAACTATTGAAAACTCTTTGGATTGTATCTTCATAAATCCATATTACTATTATAAATGCGAAAGTGTGTCCGTCTGTATGTTACCTCTTCAATCTTAAACTGCTAAACTGATTTAGATGCAATTTTGTATTGTTAGAGATAGTTCAAGTCCTGGGAAACATCAATACCATAATCACGCACCTCGACTTATGAGCATGGACCTTGGAGTAGAGCGAGTGGAACGTTCGCTTTGGGCGCTAAGTAGCAAGAGGCATCAATACGCCAAATTCAAGTTTCCAGCCAAAAAGAAAATTTTGGTGACAGAAGCGTCTGTACGGCCTAATGTTAGGTTATTTAAGAAAAGAAGTTTTACTTCAGATGTGTCTGTGTACACTATTGAGTGCACGGACCACAAAACAATTTTGGGAACTCAATTCACAAAATCGTTTTATAAAAAATACTTAAACTAAGAATCATTATTGCTCAATCAGTAACAGACAAACACAACATGCATTAAAATATTTTTTCAGTAAAAAAATAACATGATTAGTATGGGTACAATATGTAGCGATAATATCGTGAGTGTGCAATATGGGTTTAAGTGTCTCGGTATCTATGGCAGAAGAACTATGTTGCTAGTAGATTTGACAGAGGCGAGGAATTGGTAAGTTTTGGCCAAATTTTATTTCTCACAGTGGTGGTGCTAAGGGTTTCTCCACCGTATGTCGCGGGTAGCGGATCTTGAGATTCACTAGACCCAGTACTTGTGGGAGTCAATAACTTTAAAAAAATAGTTAAATCTAAGAGGATTCGGCGATTTTCCAAATTAATATTGTTAAAATCCTAGGTGGATAAAATGCAGTGGATCCATCCATATTCGAGTATACTTCGAACCAAGCTGTTATATAGCGTTATTTTAGTGGTAGGTTTTCGAAATTCCTTCACATTTTGTAATACAAAGCCTAGCATCTTAGATGCTTTTTTTACCAGTTACTCAATATGTGGAACAAGGATAGGGTTTTCGTCTATAATTATCCCTAAATCTCTGTCAGTCTCGATTTCGTTTAAAACAAAATTATTTACTTTGTAAGGATTACTTATTATATTACTTTTCCTACAAGTGAAAATTATACGGACACATTTATCGGTAATAAAGGACACACCAATCGCAGTGCACCATGTAACAATGTTATCCACATGCTGTTGCAATTCGCGCGCATCAGTTAACGATTCTAAAACTGTAAGTATTTTTAAATCGTCACCATACATAAAAGTAGTGGTATTTCGAAAAAAAAACAGGTATATCGTTGACACAGATTAAATAAAAATGACCCAATATGTGAGCCCTGTGGAACTCTCGAGGTCAACGGGAATGTAGAGTAAGGAACTTTAGAAAAATCTTTTCTAAAGTCTGTGTATACCACATGAACCTGCTTGTTTTCATCCATAGCTGCCACCACATTTTCAGTGAAACTGACTAGTTTAGTGGTGTTTGACCTTGTGTGAAAACATCCGTGATGATGTAGAGTGACATACTGGTTTTTGAATTGCTGAGTTGACTAAGAATTCGAGCAGCTTACCAAAATCATTAAAAATGGAAAAGGATCTTACAATACGCTGTTATCATCACTTTTACAGATAGGGACTACTTCGGCAATTTTCCAAAGATCAGGAAAAACACCAGTCTTTAATAAGGTATTATATAGTATGGTATAGTACAAATCGTAAGTGCCTGAGCAAAAACCTTGGCCCGCCATTGATTCTGATAGTAAATATTATGAAAAAGGTTTGTCCATACCTGGTCTAGGGTAAAAGACTGAGGTCAATGAGGTATAACTGTAGACCATAACAAAGCGTGTCCTCTTGAAGAGTGCTGGTTGGCATGAGTCGGTTCAGCGGTGCGGGATCGTTAGCCGCGCGTCAGCAGCTCACAAACATGTGTAACACTCGTGGCTTCCACCTCGCTGAGCCCCGCTCCAGGATAAAAAACTGGATTCATTGAATATAAAAATTGTAGACCGTAATAAAGCGTGTCCTCTTGAGGAGTGCTGGTCGGCATAATCGCCGCGCGTCAGCAGCTCGCAGACATGAAAAGCACTCGTGACTTCCACCTCGCTGAGCCCCAGTCCAGGGTGAGAGACTGAGTCATTGAAAATAAAGACAGTGTACCTCAACAAAGCGTGTCCTCTTGAAGAGTGCTGGTTGGCATGAGTCGGTTCAGCGGTGCGGGCTCGGTCGCCGCGCGTCAGCAGCTCGCAGACGTGAGCAGCACTCGTTGCTTCCACCTCGCTTAGCCCCGCCACCACCGGCGCTCCACTACCCTCATCGCGCAACTCCAGCGGTCCGCCGGGATTCAGCAGGTCTCTTATGTTTTCGTTATAGATTTCAATGTACGACATTTTCACCTAGAATAAAAGCAACACGAAGGTTATAAAGAGTACCTTTATGTGGTAAAGAGCGAAGAAATTAAATTATTTTCACTGAATATTTTTTTTTTCTTTCTTTCTTTCATCTTAATAATAAATATTTGACGATAATTTTACGAATTGACTAAAATTATGCGACAACATTTTTTTCCAAAAATTTATTTTATTTAAGTGCTTGAAGTAGTTTTTATTTTATTAAGATTATTTATAAATTTGCAGTGGTTCTGTTATCGATAGGTAATTTTTATTTCTCACTTTTTGATGAGTCAGAACAACTTCAGCTTACTATCCTGGGTCAACCGCAGACAGCTTTCTCGTTCAATACATATTTCATTTTCCTTTTCTGACAAGACAAAATGTTTAGGGAAAAGCAAAAAAAACAATTTTCTTTAGAAAAAGCTCGTTTGCTTTGCAAAATTCCATAGCTAATAGATAACATTTACTCATATTAAAAAAAAAACGAGTGTGCTTATGACCACACGACTGAATTGAAACATCTTTAGCTCCTTCTCCATCTGCATGTATGTATACAGGGTGGTCCAATTAGTGACGTCAAAATTTTTTTTAGATTCCTTGCACCTGGCGGTATCCGAAAATACCCCATGGATGTTCCGCGATTTTTCTTAGTTGTCGAGTTATAATTTTTTTGTGTATTTTTAATGATTTCTGCCAGCGAGGTTTCAAACATTCATATATTTTTTCGTTATAGGTATTTTGCAATCTTTTTTTGTGACATAATTGTCTTGAATGTTGTTTTAATAAAAAAAAATAACTCAGCTTCCTGAAATCTCTTAAAGTTGCTCAAAAAAGGCTTGAAAGTTGGAACGTTAGTTTTTAGTAGGATTTACTCAAACATTCAACTTCAGTTCAAAAATACAAAAAGGAGTTTCCATAGCTTCTGGCTTAAATTAAAAACTCTACATACTTCTAAACTACCAAAAATCATAAAAATGGTACTTAATCAGCCTATTTTTGTTGTAATTGGCCTTCGAAGGCGGATAGGCTAAAAATTATTAAAACAAGATCAAAGCATTAAAAAATATTTTATCTACTTTTTATCATTGTTATGGTAAATTAAACTTAAAAATGTAATTACAAATTAAATTTAATTGAAATTCCTATAAAATAACTTTAACATGTGGAATTTCATAATAATTTAAAATGTGGGTAACAATAACAATGATAAAAAGTAGATAAAATAATTTTTAATGCTTTAATCATGTTTCAATGATTTTTAGTCCATCCGCCTTCGAAGGCCAAATACAACAAAAATAGGCTGATTAAGTACTATTTTTTTTATAATTTTTGGTAGTTTAGAAACATGCAGAGTTTTTAATTTTAGTCAAAAGCTATGAATACTCCTTTTTGGATTTTTATATTGAAGTTGAATGTTTGAGTAAATCCTACTAAAAACTAAAGTTCCAACTTTCAAGCCTTTTTTGAGTAACTTTAAATAATTTCAGGAAGATGAGTTGCATTTTTTATTAAAACAACATTCAAGACAATTATGTCACAAATAAAAAGACTGTACCTACTAGGAAAAAGATATAAATTTTTGAAACCGCGCCGGCAGAAATCATTAAAAAACTCGAAAACTAAGAAAAATTGCGGAACATACATGGGGTATTTTCGGATACCCCCAGGTGCGAGAAATCTAAAAAAAATGTTGACGTCACTAATTGGACCACCCTGTATATACATATAGTATTAAAAAACTTACACAATATATAGACGTATGAACATATACATATTTCATTTACAAGCTATAAGAGAAAGAAAATGTGCATGCGCACTGCTTTCTCTTGCTTATATTCCCCACTTAACTCCCGTTCGCCTCGGTCGATCACACTTTTCGTAACGCGTTCGCCAGCTTACTCCCCAATTCAAGAAGTTTCACTTCAAAAACAAAACTTCCTCTTTAAGCGGTTATTATTTTTTTCACAAACAATACGTAGGGGTAAAATAGTCCATCATAAATTCCGAGCATGGCAAACATGAAATGACGATCATTAGCGATCGGTAGCTAGTTTATTACAGCTTGTATGGTTTATTTTTCTTCAATATTGATTCCACGTACATCTACGAAGAAAGGAACAAACATTCATTATACAGTACTCTTTGAATAATAAATAAGACTAATGGGTATATGATATATGATGAAGTACCAAATGGATATTAAGACTGTCGTCAATTATGTTCTATGGTAACAAAAGTAATAACTTAACGAAATGATCGATACGTACAAATTAAAACTTTTATAACGATTAATTTATCTTTATCTTATAACATATGTATGAATTACGTTTTAATTTTAATTCATTGAAAAGCTTGTCAAGTTGTGGCATTGGGAAAATCAAAGTAACTTATACGTAAAGACTAAACTAAAGAATAATGAACACGGATTAGTAATTTTCTTGTAACGAATAAAAAATTTAGAATGAAAGGAGCAATGACTGCTTAAAATCATTTTAGTCCAGTCAATAAAGGCTTAACTTTGCCATTTTGAGTTGATCACCTGCAACCAACGCGAAAATTTCCGCAAGGGTTCGTAGATTAATATACTAAAATTGCAGGGTGGTGCATTGACGGCAAAGGGTGAAAAAAAAATGCGAAATGGTGCAAAAACGAGGTTTTCGTCAATATCTCGCGACTGGCTGGAAAAATAGAAAAAGTTCCTAGTACAGAGTTATAGAAAATTTAATTTCCTACAAAAAAGGTATCAACATAATTTCGCGTATCTCCCATAGTTTTTGCACAAAATGCAATTAAAGGTGCAAAATAAAAAAAGAAAATATATGGTTAATGGTTTTTTTTCCATTTTTAAACGATGAAACGAAACGAAAATATTTAAGGATGAGTTTTCGGTAGTCCACTGAAATGAAAATTGTCTACTGATATGGTAAAAAAATGACCACCGAAATGACACAGCCAAGAACATCGCCTTTGTAGTAGGGTAGGGTAGGGTAGAAACATTCCCTATTTTGAATTTAAATAAATTTCCTTATTCTTTGTAAATATTTTTGTTCATTATTTTTTAATAAGAATTATTAATGAAGAATTAATTAATTGTTATTCCTATTAGTTATTATTACTAATTATAATTATTAATATGTACATTTTCAAAATAACAAACAAAGCGCGTTTAGAAAGCGATAAGTTTATTAGTTAGTAAATCGTCCCCTTACTGCCAAAACCGATTATCTGCACTTTTCCGCTACTGAACTTTTATAGTACCAATCGACCCGTGTCATTAAGCCGCATCTACAGGTAAAACCCATTATGCCCTACGACGCATACTTCCTGAAATAGCTAATGAATAAACAGAATAACTGCAAATGATTTCCAAATTTCTTGATTTAAAACCCATTCAAAACACTTCAACAAACAAAAGTTTGTAAATGTATTACCGCTGAAACCAAGGTTCGGATTTAAACTCATTTTTCATGTAGACACTTAGAGTAAACATCCTGTGAGTATCCTGTAATTGGCTTTGACTGTTTGAATTTTACCAGATATTTTAATTTTACTAGATGAAGTAAAAATTTACAGATCTAAGTCGCTTTTTTCAAAAATAAATATATAGTATATTTGCGTTATATTTGAGGCAATTGAATAAGATACCGAATTTCAATTTGTTTTTACTTAATAACTTTTATTCAACGCCTTATAAATTACTTCAGCTAAAATCGATTATCGGTGCTTACTGTTTTCTTCCACTATAATTTATTAGCGTTAGACATCGTTACTTTAAAATTTATGCTTCAGCTAAAATCAGCCATCCATGTTTAACCGTATCTTCCGTACACAGATCGCGCGCTAGGGAGTGAGTTGCTCACTTTTATTCAATCATTGTCGCGCTCGCTGGGCAACAATGTTCTGTTTTTGTTTAATTATTCACTAATAAACATTACTGGGTGAACTATTCTGCGTATTTGGTTTAAAATGATAATTACTAAGAAAGATAACGAAAAATAAAATTGATTTCAATTTAACTTTAACATTTATTTTTATTTCATCATGTTCAGCGCAAAATTTGCATTTAAAACATATATTTGCAATATGCAATACACATTCTTATACATTATTATATAATAAAATTGAAATCATTTTTTTTTGTCAAGATTATTATATGAAAAAGGAAATAAAAAATGCCCGAAACATATTAATTAAATCCCAATGAAGCATGTAGAGGTGAACTCTCCAAGCAAAAAAAAAATACACGGCATTGCTCAGAGCGGCAGAGCAATGTGCAAATTTATGATTTGGACTTTTTTTCTTAGTTAAGTAGGTACTTCTCAACCTTGTCAAAAAGAATTATTGAGTAATGGGCTCTATTCCATAAAATAAAGAAATACGAAGTGGCATTTTATCATCACGGTAACCTGTCTTAAACCCAATTCCTCTCGTAAAATTATTTGCCCTGTGTTATATTTATTTTTTCGATTGAAATTAACTTTTATATCATTAATATATAATATAGCTTATCAACACAACCTACTACTGTTTGTTTACCTTCTTTCTTATACATGTAACAAGCACTCAACTTTTGTCCTGGAAAATGTTATCATTTTTGTGAAATAGGTTCGTCTACATTGCGTTGTTGTATCCCGTTTGTCAGTACTCACTTCGAGCCAGTCCGCCTTCGCTGGAGCACACGCACGCGCAACAATGTCATTGTGGATTCCCGCCAAATAGTAAGTATATCATTTCAGTGATATGGAGACAATTGATTCGGTGGACAGTAATGCCGATAAGAGTCCAGGGAATGAAAGTATCGCCGAAATGATACATCCATAAGTTTTTAGAGATCCTTGAGTCAATATAGGTATATTAAATAGTTTCGGTTTATGATGTACATTTATCTAGATACTGTAGGTTCGATATTTCGGGTGCAGTAGTATTTCTATCTAAAATATCTAGTTTATAAATGTATATTAAAGTTAAAGCGGACGAATTCGTTGGCGGCCGATAGTATTCCT